TGACTTTGCTAAACTGACCTTTTTAACCTGATGCCTGTCTAACTCAGCGAGGGCAGACTAAAGCCCTCCCACCACTAAAGCTATGGTTGGTCTGCACCTGCAGGAGCTAGCCAAGCCCTGGGTCTGACCCGAGTGCCCAGCGTCCTGAGCTGACCTGGCCGGAACCCTCGGGGGTTCCCAGCTTGAGTGTCAGATGGTTCGGGGTCTCTCTCCTGAGGTGACGTACAGCCCGACCCTAGGTGTTCAGCTGTCTCCTGGATGTGTTAGGCTCCTGGACCCATGTCACATGCTTCCAAACCCATATTCCCAACTCAGGGGTCATGGTGGTCATGAGCACCGTGATGTCTGAGTCCCAGAAACACACAGGCTTCTTCTGGGCCAGGTCCCAGGTGGGGTGATGAGTCAATTTATGTCTTTTATTTTAAAAACCAGATTGTTTTTCTCTCTCCTCTGTTAGAGACAAATTAAATGCCTTACAGAGACAAAATGAAACACTGGAAGAAAAAAGCATGGCTCAGCGCAAGTTCCATGATCCAGCGCCAAAGAAGTGAGTTGATTTAAGTGTCAGTAGCTTACACACAGGACAGAAAGCTTGCTTTTTCATGAGCAGGGGAAGCTGTACATCTAGAGCAGTGGCCAGTTTGTTGGGCCCGTACCTTCCGCTGTATGGCAGGTCCGTGTGCAGGTCACTCTCAGCATGGAAAGAATTTAGAGTTTCTTTCGGTCCCACCCTCCGTACTCAGGGTTATCCTATGAGGGATGGTGAATGCCAGCTGGCCAGGAGCCTGTTTAAGGGCAGAGAGTCTGTGCTTTTAGAGCCACTAAAGCAGGCGTATCAGCATTTGTCTTAAGTTTGCGGGACTTAGAAAACCAGGTTTCTGTTTTGGGATGGAAGCTTGGCTCAAACACCTGGACCAGCACCCCTGTCTTCAAGCACAGGAACCTTTTGTTCTGCCCTCCATTGCTCTGGGTTCACTGGACCCCCCAGGGCAGGTTCACAAACACATTCCCTTCCCCAGAGAGCAGCAGCCCCGGTGGTGGGTCGGCTCGGTCCTTGAGACTGCTAGCCTCCGTCCAGCAGGGCTACCCCTGGGCCCGGGCCTGAGCCCAGGAGCTGGGCCTTCCCATTGTCCTGTCCCAGCCCAGCCTTGAGGTCAAATCATCATGAATCCGGCAGGGCCTCTCTGTAGAAATCACAGAACCACAGAATTTCAGAACCTCTGCCTGACCCTTCTGTTGACAGGGAAATTAAGGCACCGATGAGGAAATTGAGTGGCTTGTGTAAGCACAGTGCTGTTTCGTGGCAGAGCCAGGATCAGAACCCAGCTGTGGTCCCTGTTACATTAGAATGCTTCATTTCCTGTTAGCTGCAATGAATTACCTTTTACATTCACAGTTTTCATTTATTTACTTATTTTTCTAATCCTCACCTGAGGATATTTTTCCCATTGATTTTTAGAGAGAGTAGAAGGGAGGGAGGGAGGTGACAGTGGTGGGAGAGAGAGAGAGAGAGAGAGAGAGAGAGGAGAGAGAGAGACCCATCAATTGGTTTCCATCTGCACACACCTCGACCGGGGCCGGGGATCGAACCTGCAAACCAGGTATGTGCCCTTGACGGGGGATGGAACCCACCACCCTTCAGTGCTCAGGCTGATGCTCCAACCACCGGGTAACTCCTCCAGGGCTCACTGTTTTTACCTGAAGGGGCCCACTCTCCTGCCCTCTTCCCCTCACCCAGATTCCTCAGTGCCGGGAGTGGGCAGAATATGCCAGCCTATTTCACGTATTATTAACTCTAGCAGAAAGTGAGGAGGTCCCAGTCTCTTTCTGAAAATGGCATTTTGGTGGAATTTTGCCAACCAGCATGATTAGGTCAGCACAGCACCACTTCCTGCACTTGGCACAGTAATTAAGAGCTGAAAGCTGGGTTTGAAGTTCTGTTTTCCCGAGGGGCTAGTGTGGGTTCCTGTACGATGAAGGCTTCTACCACCCCTGGGTCTGTGTGAATTAACTGCACATTGTGTGCCACCTCCTGAGCCCCAGGTGGGGTGAGCGTGGTGATGGCGAAGAGAACCCGCTTTCTGAACCAGATTAACCACCACCTTTACAGGTTGGTGATGGAAATTCCAGCTCGCATAGGGCACCCAGACACCTGCTGGAGGGGCAGTGAGGGTTGGCTGTGTCCTAAAAACCTACCTCTTACAGGAAAAAGCACGGGATTGGAGCCAAATTCTTACTCAAACTCATCAAACTAAAGAAAGGGGGTTCCAGAGAACGACGAAAGTCAACCTCAGAGAGGCCTTCCTGGCCGCTGGGGTCCTCAGACCAGGCCTCCCCCAGTACTTCTCAGACTCTTCAATCGCAGCTGGAGCCCCTCCAGGCCACCCCATGCTGCTCAAAGTGAACAGAAGAGCAAGAGACCTGCAGGGGGCCCAGGGGAAAAGGTAGGAGGGGCTGACCTGTCTGCAGGTGGGAAGTGAAGGGGAGGAACTCAGGTCTCCCTCAGGGACAGGGGAGAACCAAGGAGACTGCCTTCTGTGTGCACATGTGTGTGTGTGTGTAGGATGCTGAAGGGAGTGTGATCCACACATGCACATCTGTCTCCTTAGGAATGTGAACACTCAATGTGCCCAGTCAGTGTTGCTGTACTTTCGTCCCAGAACAATTCAGTTCCTTTAGTATGAGGAGCCTAACGCCTCACGGACACTGTGGTAGGGACTCAAATATCCAGAGCTGGTGTCCACACAGTTACTGCAGAGACAAGCTCCACAGCAGAGGATTTTGGGGTTCCCTGTTTCCTCCAGGCCTACAATAGGCCACTTCTGTAACAAGATCCGCAGTGTATTTAACACGTGAGGGACAGCTGCAAGGTCTTCAGCAAGGCCTCCTGTGGCTCTGATCTTCCTGTCACTTTTGCCACCTGGCCGACAGTGACTGTGAGACAGGCTCGAAGCTGCATCGTGATTTCAGAGATGTTAAGGTTTGGGAGAGGGGGTGTTGGGGTCCAGCCCCAGCAGGTCCAGGGGTTCCCAAAGGTGTGGACGGAGTCC